ATCTTATTTTATATTACTAACGATAACATTACTCTACTGTTAAAATTATACTGTGGTTACAGAGAGGGGTGGATTGCCAATTAAGAATTGATAAAGAATTCTTGATGGGCGGACTTATAGATGATTTAGTTTGTTTGGTAGACCTGCCACCTTCAATGTAACCCCATTCAATATCATTAATTGATTTGGGGCTGAAATTATAAAGGGATATATTTGGATTTTACATTCATAGTCGCCATTAACAAAAACTTTACAGTATAAAACTTAAACTCCAAAATAATTTGCTTTGATTTCAAGCAAACAACATGGCTTTCGGGTGTCAATGGACGGTAGTCACCTCGAACCAGGTAACCCGATTGCTCATTTTCCATTTTATACCATAAGAAAAAACACCTTCGAAAGTAAGTAAGTATTGCCCAATAATACAGTTTCATAGTTTACAATAAATTTCATCAATATCGAATTAATTTTAAATTACAGATGTGTGTTCTAGTTAATTAAATTATTTTTAATATATTGATTTAAAATCATTGAAAATTACTAAAAATAATATTTCATATAGTGCAATCTAGTCCACCCAAAATAATAAACATTTAAAATTAGATTTTAATTTTGTTTATGGGCTTGTCCATTTCTGGACAAAGGCATCCTCCATCCTATGCCATTTGTCTCTATCGGCGGCCAGTCAGACACTTTATAAAATAAAACTCAAAATAAGGTCTGTTTAAAAATAATTTCTGTGAACATTTCCGTGGGTTCTCCATCCTGAGTCATTCATCACGTTCTTACAATAAATTCCTTGTTACAATACATTAGATTCTCTTATACGCCACACCTAATGTTGGAGGTAATTGAGGCCACATGATATATGGAGTCGATCCGTTTTATCGCGCCCCGACGTTCCAACGCTTTGATTTGTCTATATTTTTTACAGAAGGAAAACATTTATTTTATATAGTCTGATGATTTCTTTAAGACTTGACCCTGGTCTTATTTTAATAGTACAAAGTCTTTGGGTGCTACGAGTCTCGATTAATACTTAAAACGTCATCACGGGCATGTTGGTCAATTTGTTTGTGACCCTGACTGCTAAGCTGGAGATGGTGGGTTCGATTCCTACAAAACACAAATAATTAAGTGATGAGTAACTTGTTCTGTGTCTGGGTGTAATTTATCTATAATGTTTAGAAATATTTAACTATGTTTATAAGCAGTCTGGTTACCATAGCACAGGCTCACCCTAGTTCATGATCAGAAGGCCTTCAGACTGCCGTATGGAAAAAGTGTGAAGTTATTATTATTAATATACTCCTCAACGATATGCCACATATTTATTTATTTAGAACATGGAAGACTTATATTGTGTCTAATTTTTGTGGATCTAGATCACATACAGAAAATCATAATATACTTGGTCCATGAGTTAATCGCTACGACCCTGGACCAATACCTTCAGATACGCTTATTTAAAGCTGTTTGGCTATAGTAGGCAAAAACCTCCTTTCTAAGAAGAGGCCTGTGTCCAGCAGTGGACCATTATAGGCTTTTGATGTGATGTGATGTGGCTAAGGGCCTAATGCAAAGCAAGTTTAGTGGCCGGAGCCTTAACCACCAGCATGAAAGATGTATAAATTTTTTGTGATCATCATAGCTGTAAATCCTCCATAGTTTGTAATAAATAAATAAATTACGTTTTTAAATGTATGTAAATAAATATTCACATATTTGTTAAACGATAATATAATATCTAATAAATAAACTAATATAAACCAGCATCCAACAATTCAACAATCAACAACAATCCAACATTATACGTCTAAATAAAATACCTACATAACGCACATACTCGTAACAAATCAAATACCTACATAACGCACATACTCGTAACAAATCAAATACCTACGTAAAAAGTCACCTATGCGCAATTTTAGCAATTAGTAATGGCAACCACAAAACCATTTAAAAATAATTCACAATTGGTTCACATGGTATTGGTTTAGATGCAACTGGACTATATTAAAGATGTCCAATATATAATGTTTGTTCTAAAAGAAAAGCCTACAGTACAATTAATTGAGTGGAACCAAAGAAAACAGAACTATCTCTTAATAAGATTTGCACAATTTGAGAATAAAAAGTATTTCGATGGAAATTTTGAACGTCATGTTTTTTTACACTAGCCATGCCAATTTAATTTAATTAATTCAAAAACTTAAATAATGTATGCTATACAATGGTCAAATACCAACCCGTCTGGCCAGCGTGGTATAGTAGGCCAAAACCTCCTTTCTATGGGGAACCCTATGTCCAGCAGTGGACTATTAAAGGCTGTTGATGATGATGATGATGATGATACAATGGCTATCAAAGTTGTAAAATTAACATATATAATATAAACAAATATCTTACAGCGAACAACGACAACTTTATTCTCAAGTCTTAGTTTGATGAAACATAGCTTAAGTTTAGTTCTTAATTTTTACTCTGTTAAACCGTTTAAACTACAAAACAAATTTTCGGAGATATTCAATAACAAATACACAGCTACACAGAGGGAAAAGACTGAATTGTATAAAGTCTTATTTAAAATGAAACTTATTTACAAAGCCTTGAGATAGATTATGGAAAACCACATAATATGCTACTTATTATCTCGGCAAAATTGATTAACAAAATCGTCGTTGCAAAATGCTTTTATAAATACTAAAAGTTAAATTGTACGTGCAATGATTTCGAAGTTGTAAATTCTACCTTGTTCCTAAAAAAACCCTATGACGTCATAATCTCAAATTACATACAGTTGAAAGCCAAAATTAAATTCTTTAACAGGTCGTATCTTACCACTCCAGCTCATGAGTACCGACGATAAGCTTTTTGAATGACGCTCCAAGAACTTTTCACGGTTGCCATTGGTTATCAGCCAACATTATCTATTGTGCTTCTGCCTGTCCTAAAACTAAATAGGCAAAAATATTGAAATTCAATTGTTCTAACATCCTAAAACATCCTTACAGGAAAAATAATGAAATGTAAATATACCAAAAATATAAAAATAAATAAACATAATTAGACTCAGAAGCAAACTACGCAGGACAACAGCACTGCAAAGAGAAGGAAAACTTGATACAAAACCTTTTTTCTAAAAAGAGGCTATGACCAAAAGTGGACTATTAAAGGCTGTTTATGTAATTTATACTCTGAGTATGCATGTACTAATAGTAAAGAAATCTTTTAACAGAATATAAGGCTGGTAACTCAATCGTAATATAATCCAATTTACTTCCCCACATTTCAAATAAATCCAGCTTAGCTTCATAATTTAACTTAGACACGTCCAATACAAAATAAAAAATTCTACTAAAGCCATGTGTTTGTGAAAATAAACAATTTTCATATTTCTCAGAAGGAATTTAGGTTCGAAACGCATTGTGACCTTTGCATTAAATAAAAAATATTTAAAAATCCAGTACTGATGTGTGTAAACACGCAATTATTTGTTCTGGGAGGGAATCGAATGAATGGCCCCTGACTTAGCAATTAGGATCTAGATCTAGTAGATATTTTGTATAACCTTAATCATCATCATCAACAGTTTTCAATAGTCCACTGCTGGACATGGACCTCTCCGTAGAAAGGAGGTTTGGTCTACTATATCACGCTTGTGTCAAGTTTTCCTTCTCTTAGCAGTGCTGTTGTCCTTCAGAGGTTCCTCCCTAGTCCTGGAATGCGAGGGAGTGGCCACACAACGGGCAAGTATCATGACTTGCCACTTGTAAATTTATTTCAGGACGAAATTTAACAGAATCAAAGTTTAAAGCAAAATTCAAAAGAAGCTCGTACAAAACTCTAAGTAACATAATTTTTGCGATCATAATATGCGATGTGAGAAAATCAGAGCAATAAAAAATACGTCAAACTTACGCCTAAAAAAGTAGACCCATCACCACAAAATTTGTTCAAACTTTCATAGCATTGTTAGTGTTTGGAATGAAAATTAAATTCTGTAGCGGCGCTTAAGCGTCTGCTTGCAGAACACTTACAAGCAAAATTTAACAGCTACTTAATTTTAGACCATTACTATATTAATTTCTGTTTTGATTGTTATCGCTTAGCTGAATATTAGCGACAGAACGGAATTTAATCTTCTTCATTAGTTAAATTTGAGATTCCAACTTGAGTCGGAATCTCAATTAACTAACAACAAAAACACCAAAATAAAAATTTCACCATCTGTACCGTTTTTTTTTTACAAAAAAGTATCAATGCGTATTAAGCCTTACAAGAAACGGAAAATATGAAGTACGAGGAATAACTGAGCAGATTATTTTCAAGGTTACACTCGCTGTGGTGGCGTTAAATAAAAGAAAACAAAAAACACTACGAGCGTTGTTTGAATATAAACAACACCTACATAGAATATTAAAGATAGTTTTTCTTTTCGTTGGCTTAGTTTAGAGGTTAGTCCTAAGGATGTTATAGCGAATATTTTATTCTTACTAATTTGTAAAAATCCCTACTTATACGATAAATGTGTTGCGACGGATTCAGAACACGAGGTGTCGCCACCCCTATTCATTCCGATATATTCCTAATGCGGGAGTTTACTTTTAAAAAAAAAGCTACTATTCTTAAACACTTGAATATCTAAATAGAAATGTAAATCACTTATTGGGTACAATATTGTAGGAGGTAAATGTTGTGTGAACTTGTACATTGGCAAATTTGATAATTCTAGGTCATGGACATGTACATATTTTTTTGGTGACACAGACATAGTTTATAAGATGTCTTGAAAAATTATAAATCTCTTCAGTTGATAGACGGTAGACAGAGAATTGATTTTGGATTAATAGATGGATATCCAAACATCATTATATTTATTTGTTGTACTTTTTTTCTTTTGAGGTAAGCGCAGCACCATTAAAAATAAAATAAATGGCGTCTTACTTATGAAAATTGTATTAAATTATTTCTTAAATTAATCGGTGATAATTCGATATTTATTCAGCAGGTGCGGTCGGCACTGATTCTGGTCTCTGACAAGTGAGGGCTCCGCATCGGTTGGCACAACACTTCAGCTTCCGCGGGCAGTCGGAATCGCTTGTACATGTGTGAGTGCATACCCACGGACCTCGAGGAAATTCTGGGCAGTTGCCCGGTTTAACTGGAATAAGTCAAAAGTATTGTTATACTAAAGCAGCTGTAAGGCTGTCAGTTTAACTCGGCGATGGTTAGGCTTACTTGTCACCCGAGTTGAAGAGGGAGTTAAAAAGCTTTGTACTTTCCTAATCTCACAGTCCTGTTGACGAAATAGCTTAACATAAATTCTGTTCAGGTATTTTAAGTACAACATGAAATTATATCGTCATGTTTATGAGTAGATAAGGATCCTCAGTGGGTTTTTGTATATCATATGACAAAGGGACTTTAATATGAAGTGTGTGAAGTGACATACTAACCATAGTCCACAAAATGTCTTGCCGTCACAGCATCAACACACATAGATCCTCCACAAGCGGTAGCACAGCAAAGCTGTTCTCCTTCACAGGGTATTTCAGGGCCGCATGCTGGCTCACAGATGTCCACGGGCAATGTTGGTGGGCAGGAGCCTTTCTTACGAGGTATTTGTGCACATGTCAGCGCCACTAACGCAAGCACTGAAACGTAAAAGGCAGATATTAATTTGATTATAATATTTTAACTAACGTTTAGCCGCGTATTTGGCTGTGTCATCAATTCCAGAAGTCTTCTTCAGACAGAAAATAATTTGTAAAATAATTATCACACTCAGGACGTACGTCTTTTACCTAATCAAAACTTTGGGAGAATCCTACCTGGCCAATATGGCATTTAAGACTGGCTAAAACTAAATAAATTAATTATATTGCAAACAAAAATGGTATAAAAATGATATTAAATACCAATAGAATGAATTAAATACACACTAAACACCAATAAAAAATAAAATAAAGATACACCAATGTAAAATCAATAAATAAGTAATACCTACATAATACATGTTTAAATACAAATATATTTCATTCATATATATATATATAAAACAAAGTCGTGTTAGTTACACCATTTATAACTCAAGAACGGCTGGACCACTTTTTATAATTTTTGTGTTTTTGGATTTGTCGTCGTCCGGAATAGGATAATAAGTATTAAAATATGATATTCATCAATGAAAATAATAATAAAAAAAAAGAGTCTAGACCTTCATTTGTCATAAATGGTATTACAAAACGCAACTGACAGCTCATGAAATATTTTCTATGGTTTGTTTAAATTGAACTTAATATTTTTTTATTGATTTTAAAATCCCAAATCTGATTCATTGACTGTTAAGCGAAACCAAGTTCGCTCTGTCAGCTAGTATTACAAATTATAATATAACAGTATATGTACCTATTTGACGAACAATCATTTTACAGAAATATGGAAATAATCATCATTAACTTGTATAAGACACACTATAATTGTATTTTTATGTTGTAAATTATTCTTCTACGAAATCAACAGAAATCTCAACAGCTATGAATTTCTAAGACCCTGCTTTCGGTCCCGATTAAATATTTCTGGAGAGCAAACCTTCTGGAATATAAATTATTAATAAGTTTGTTTACTTGATGCTCATTGATATTCTAAAGACAGAGGCAGTCAACAAATCAAAATTTATGAATACATCAAATATAACGTATTAATAAGTTAATAACCGGTCCGTTTTATATTCTTCTATTCAAAAACAATGGCCATAAGTTTGTTTGCTTTATTTCCTATGAGCCGGTTTGACCTAAGCGCTATCGCAGCCTCACAGAAAGCCAATTCAGCTCTTTTTTTGTTGCCTTTCATTGAATGAGTGGTGGTTCCGTGTGGTGACGGATTAAGAATACAAATTGTCACCGCCCCAATTCATCCCGTGGGTGTCGTAGGAGCCGACTAAGGGAGCAAACTAAGCAGGACAACAGCACTGCAAAGAGAAGGAAAACTTGAAACAAACCCTATACCAACCCGTCTGGCCAGCGTGGTATAGTAGGCCAAAACCTCCTTTCTAAGGAGAGGCCTATGTCCAGCAGTGGACTAGCATAGGCTGTTGATGAATGAGTGGAGTTACCTTAGCACCAAATCCCTATCACCCTAATTCTGGTGGTGGAAACTCGAACACACATGTGACTTGGTTGCAGGTGTCTATGGGCGGCGGGATTAGATTGACCAGTCTGTTCCATTGCCCCTACCATAAAGAGATAGTACCCGGATGACCAAGCTTTGCTCGGTATTTTTTTTCTTTTGGTAAAGGCTGTGAGTTTGTATGCCCGTTCTTCTCATGGGATTCAACGCCTTAAAAATGGATGGTTGTAGATCGGCGCAGGCATATAAGAGATTTTCGATACGTATATATTTAGTTTGCTAAATATTTGACAAAACAGAGATTGTTGCTATTGTGTGTGTTGATCTATGACTTTAGAGTCTACACAAGAGACGATTTCAAATAATTTTTAATAGAGATGTTGATAGTGATATATTGTATTTACAGATACGTGTCGATCCATTGCTTTTAATTGTCTAAAAAGACCATTTGCTTATGATTTAATGAGGATGATTAATTGACTATTAAAAATGACTATAAACCTGTGTACAGTTTCATTATTTTCATTATTAGTTGTATAATTATTACGACTTCTTCATTTGTTTGCCTGTTATCTTTGCTTTTTAACCATATTAACTTTAAGTTTTGCCTCCATCTTTTCAATACTTATTTAGTTATATACCTATACTCTTATTTCTACTAAATAAAACCTGCGTTATATTTTTAAGGAAGAGACAAACAATATCTATTCGACTTGTGTCCTGTAAGCCGTAACATGTCACGCCATCTATGTTCTCAGATGTGAACTATACAAATCTTAAAACAAACTTCAACACAATGCGTTAGAACTTGAATACTTAGATTTTAACAAAACAGTTTTATTTAGTTGCTGTAGGTAATTATTACCAATCAAATTAAAAAAGACGCTTTGTTTTGTACTAATTGGTATTGACAAAGGTTTTTTAAGTGTCTTAAGAAAAACAAAGTGTAAAAAAGATCTAAAGAAAGAGTAGAATCTATTTTATTACTTTTAGAGATCAGCGTTTAGTAACAGTAGTACATAATTTATATGAGCCTCATTTCTGTTTTATAATGTGTAAGTTTATTAAGTAATAAAAACATTGGTATTATTATTTTTATTATTTAAATTTCTGAATTGGTCTCTTTCGGGATTTCTAATGTGTGAAATAATAATGCGTGTAATGCTATGCTTCATAGACACCGTGTTTTTTTTTTATTTTATGACATACTTTGTGTCGTGCTCCTTAAGGCCCCGGACCCTGGCCAGGCGTCTCCTTATGCAGTACTGCAAACTTCTTTTTTGCTTAAAAAAGACAACTCCCGCATTAAGAATATATCCTGTGTCGAGGGGGGCATACATGAAAACGACACATGGAACACCCAGACTCAGAACAACAATTTGTGGATCACACAAGGTGTCGTCCCATGTGGTGATCGGACCCACAACACTTAGCGTAGTAGTGAGCGGCGTGGCTGCCGCTTAAACCACTACGCCTAAGGTTGATAGCCCTGAGCACGTGTCCCAATTGTAATTGCAGAAGAAGTTATACTAATAACAACGAATTGTTAAATACTGGTAAATCAGACGTTGTGGCCAACTAGACCTATCAAAACCTTCTAATTTAATCAAAAAACAAGTTCAAAAGTCAGAAGTGATAAAAAAAATCGATTATAACACAAAATTGCAGAAATTTCAATAAAAAAAAGCGAGTCCAGTAATCAAATGCCGGATCTTAAGTTACATTTTAAGCGGTGATGTCATCTTAGTGTAATCAACTTTTGCATTATGTGAGATAATATTAACATGGATCAATAATATGAACCTTGATAGCCTATACTTATAGGTACCTACTTACATAAATTTAACATCGTATATATATATATACGAATAATACATTAATAGTTTATATTAACGAATATAAAAAGAACTTATTTTTACTCACATATTATTTTTATCACCTACATCTAACACCTTTAAACGAGCAATTCTTGTATCATCATATCAACAGCATATAATAGTCCACTGCTGGACATAGGCCTCTCCTTAGAAAGGTTTTGGCCTACTATACCACGCTGGCCAGACGGGTTGGGTTGGGTTTGTGTCAAGTTTTCCTTCTCTTTAAGAATTTTAAGATTTTTGAGAAACTACAGAAAACAAGTAAAAATATATTGAACGTTGTTTTTTTTTGCATTTAACATACGAGTAAAGGCTCAAACAAGGCTTATGAAAAATCACAGTCTAGCCACGCCACTGGGTATAGTGGGCCAAAATCTTCTTTTTAAGGAGAAGCCTATGTCCAGCAGTAGACTATGAATATTAATGATGATAATGATGATAATTTTCATAACAAATATTAGAATAATAGCAATAATAATAATGTAATAATTTTCGTTAATAGTTTAATTTATAAGTACACGTCAAATTAAATATCTGGTCAGTAGCATGAAGGTAGGGATGTTAATGTATAGTAGGCCAATAGCCCTTTTTTAAGGAGAGGCCTATGGCCAGTTGTGGACTATTAAAGGATGTTGATGATGATAATAAACTAACTGTTGATGGAAAGTCTGAGGCCCCTTACTACACTACATTCCAAAGTAAACTTACACAAGTAATCTCTTATGTTTTTTTTTGGTAATAGTAATAATAACTTCAAACATCTCACACGCGGCAGTCTGACCCCAAACTAGGTAGAGCCTGGACTGTTTTATCCAGACCGCTATTGCGGGCAGGTGCTAGGAGGGATCCGGATGTATTAATTAACAGCTAGCTAGCTTAATTAACATCAGCTGTGTAATTAATAGGATACCCCACTTTGGGCGCAGAGTGGCACACCCTGTGGTTCTGGTGTGATGGCCCGAAGGGGTTGCCAACGTAAAATAAAATGGTATCCAGACATACCGCTGATAAACATACTTATATCTTTCTAAATACGTACATGTCGTATAATTAAAATTACACCTAGATACAAAACAAATGGTCGTACTCATCACACTATTTTTCCTGGATGGTTATCAAACCCACTACTTCTGGCTTAGCAGTCAAGATCACTACCCACTATTTAATATTTTTTATACGTGTGGAAACCCCCTCGGGCCGTCACCCCACCGGGGTATCACCGTGTACTAAAACCACATGGTGTGCCACTCTGCGCCTGTACAGGGAGGGATCTGGGAACTGCTGTTATTAAGACATCCGGATCCCTCCCCCTCCTCGCGGCTGGCCGTTATGGCGGGTGAAGACTCGACCTGTCCCATCAGGCCCGTCGTGCTGCCGGACGATGCAGGCAGAGAGGACCCTTTAAATCAATTTAACCGCCTCGTCCAGCAGCACGATGGGCCTGTAGACCGCGAACGAATCGGCAGGCCGTCCCGGCTCCCTCAACGGGACCAGCTTAACGCTCTTGCAGCACTCAGGCGAACGTCACAAAACTAGCGTCAAACACCTCCCTCGCCTCCAGCCAAGGAGGTCACAAACCACTAGACCAGGGATTCCCAAAGATGTCGATATATCGTTAAAATTGGTGTCCCAGGGGTTGACAGAAACGAAAACGGATTTTAGGGCCCTATTAATTAACACAAGTTCTGATTTAAACTAATTTGAAACTTTCCCTTTTTTTTTTTTTTTTTTTTAAAAAAAGACAACGCCCGCATTAGGAATACATTCCTGTGTCGCGGGGAACTACGCCATCCGTGCAGTCTGGCACTTTCACTGTATTCGTTATATTACGTGTACCAACTTGTTGTAAGAATGACTAGTATTTTAGTAAGAAGTATCATTGTTGTCAAAAAAAGTCGATAAGGGTGCCGTAATTTGACCCGCGGTATCAATTTTGGGGTCTGCAGTATCAATTCATTTTAGAAAAGGGGTCTCTTTCCCAAAATAGTTTGGGAATCCCTGCACTATACGAACAGGCCAGTCAATCTATCATGTGATGCACTATATCGTTTTTCGTAAAGCTGTTTGTGAACGTATTACCAATAAACAGTATCTCAAAACATCACATACGAATAAAGTTTGAAACTGGCTGTTGAAATAGCATTTTTTTTTTTATATTTGTTTTTGCAATCAGTTTCCAAGAACAGTCGGCAAACTTCAGTCCAGCTAACTTTTAAATGACATTTTTTTTTTACACTTATTTTAACTTACAAGTCACTTTGATTTACACTTACACAGTCTGTACTTTAACCCAACCCACTCACAATAGAATCTGTACTTAAAAAGTTCTATTTGATTGATCACTTTTGATGTTATACACTTGATCACTTTTATAAACATTAATCCTAGAAACGCTTACAAAATCAAGCTTCTTGTTTCTATTCTACATAGAGATAACTATGTTACGATTTGTGCATGTAGGCATATTTCGACACAAGCCCATGAAAGCAAGTCATTAGGTGTAATAAACTCACCGATTACGAACACAAAACGCCGCATATCGTGTCACACACTCCGCCGGTTTGTAAATTCTCGCCGAGTCTAATAATCGCGAGGCGTTCGGTCACAAATAACACGATACACACTGCCAAAACGAATAAAGAGCTTAGAAACAATCCAACCAGGGTGGATTTTTGTTTGTTGGTTATTTATATACTCAAAATAATATATGTAAGTTAAAAAAGGGTTTAAGTTTAATGCTATAATACTATTTTAATAATTATGAATATAAATTAATAATAATGAATACTATTTTTTACATTATATTTTATTGTGTTTTTTATTTATTTTTTAAGACAACTCCCGCCTTCTAATAATACTATATAATACCCTGTGAAGCGGAGGACTTTAAAAACATACATGAAACGGACGCAAAGAACACCCAAACCCAGAATAACAATTTGTGGATCACACAAAGTGGTGTCCCATGTACCAGTTACACGTTTATTGCCCTTTTTTTTCCGTGCGGAAATCCCCTCGGATACCACCTGTCGGTGGCATGTCGGACTCGAACCGACTAAAACCGCACGCCTTCGCCGGGTACTAATAGCCGGGGAACCAAGTATACCCTAGAAAGGAAGGCCCTGGTGCTCGTTTATTGCCCTGAAGTAGTAAAGACTAGTAGACACTATCTTCTCTCACGTTATGGTTGCAAATGAGGAGACGTATGTCTAGTGACTATCGCCACCTATAGACACCTATAATTGAAGAGTCATGTGTTGTTTTGTCGGTCTTTTGAGCGCCCCCGTCAGAATAAGGGGGAGGGTTTTTTTTTTCAAACCTCACTCGGTCGGTATAATGTAAAAGAATTGCTTAGTAACAAATATCATCTCGCTAGTGTCGCGATGTAAATAATGAACATAGAAAAATCTACGAGTAGGTATACTATACTATGTATTTTTCAAATAATGATAGCAGTTTTGTACCTAACTTATTTTTTAGATGGCTTATTAAGTAAGATCCGTGAGGGAGAACTAAGTCACTCTATTAAATCATAATAATAATGATTTTGTAGTGGCTATGGGTGTAGTTTTAAATTATAAACTGATTTAATAACATTTTTTCACTGATTACGTAAGTAACTTCTGTACACCTTACCTTACAAGATTTCTACACTACCCAACGGTAAGCTGGTAGATAATGACCTAGATATTTAGTCCACCGATGTATATTTTTTCTTATGTTGGACATTTTTAATCGCAGTATATAACCATTGATGACACAGTGATATCTTTGACGCGTCTGTCGGAGTTGTTTCACTGTAATTCATCACATCACTATTATAAATAATTTATATAACATAATAAGGAAGGAATTAAGGAAAAGGACTTCATGCTTCAAATACAATGTTATTACATTGTATTTGAAGCATGAAGTCTCATTGAAAAAAATACATTTATTTATTAATCTTTTAGTAATATAGTTTATTGTTATAAAAAGTTAAAGTAGTACTGTAGGTATATAAAATTGATGTGTATATATATATTTTAACACACTTTATTAGTTTAGTAGGTATGTGTAACGGATTCTTCGAACGTAGTTTTGACTCACTTCAAAACGTCGTATTAAAATGAACCCTCGCCCGGCCGTTGTTGAAGGTCGCGGAACCGGTTTGGTGCGGGGCCCGCACAGCCCGATAAGACGCAGGAACACTTATCAAGGACCGACGACAACACAATAATATAATATAATATACCTAACACATCTCACACACGCCCGCTTGATCCCACACTAGGCAGAGCCTGTACTATGGTAACCAGACTGCTGAATAGGGCACGGCTCTGGCGCCCTCAGAGGATATTGGCGGTTAGAGCCATACGCGGATACCGCACCGTATCGACGGAGGCGACGTGCGCATTGGACTCCCCCGTGGGATTTGGAGGTGGAAGTGCTCGTCGAAGTATCTCGGCGGACGGCTGAGTACCGGGCGGATAGTGGCAGTAGGCCCCCGCCCGAAGAGCGTGCAGGGCGGCAGTACGGGACCCTTTTCTTCCGGCTGACGCAGATCCTTTCCAGACACGGCCCCTTTAGGAAGTACCTGCACTCGGTCGCCAGGAGGGAATTGAGTCCCGCCTGTCACCACTGCGATTGCAGTGAGGACTCGGCTTAGCACACGCTGGCAATTTGCCCGGCTTGGGCGATGCAGCGCCGCGTCCTCATTGCAGTCATCGGAGGGGATCTCTCACTACCGGCCGTCATACGGTCCATGGACGGTAGTGACAGATGTTTCACCGCGGTCGCATCCTTCTGCGAAGACGTCATCTCGCAGAAGGAGGCGGCGAAGAGGGCTCGGGAGGAAAACCTCCACTCGGACCCAATCCGTCGCCGTCGAACCGAGCAGCGGAGGCGCGCCTACCACCGCCTCATGCCGCCCTAAGTGTGGCCGCGGGTGGACGGGATGGGTTTTCCCCTCCACCCCGCCATAACGGCCAGCCGCGAGGAGGCGATGATGGTGCCCGCGCCGTTGCGGGCAGGCGCTAGGAGAGGTCCGGATGTCTTAATCAGACAGAGTGGCACACCGTGTGGTTTTAGTCGGTCCGATTCCGACACACCACCCCGCCGTAAGCCCCGGTAGGGTGACGGCCCGAAGGGGTTTCCACACGTAAAAAAAAATGGTAACCAAACTGCTGGTAAACATACTTATATATTTTTAAATACATACATATTATAAATAAATTACACCCAGACACAGAACAAATGATCGTGCTCATCACACAATATTTGTCCTGGGTGGGAACCCCACCACATTCGGCTTAGCAGTCAGGGTTACTAACCACTAGACCAACAGGCCCGTCGGTGTGGGTCTGGTATCACAATAATTCTACAAATTATTTTAAAAATACGGTAGTGTCTTTTGCTACGTACTAAGAGGCGTGTGCTGAAGCAATTTATTACGTGCATTACTTTCTTCTACCTTTTTAAGTCTTAATTAAAAATAATCATCATTAATAACTAAAAAAGAAAATACAAATTATAGTTAAAAAAAACTAAAGAACACGTTTTTGTAACTAGCCAAACTAAAACGTAGAAAATCATTTCCTAGAAGTTCAAAAAGAAAAATCATTTTATAGTAAAAATGCGAGGGGTGTGGGGTTATAAAATATATTTTTAGTATTGTGGCAAACGAATGGGTCATACTAATATATAATATTTGGGCCATCAGACACACAACGCCATCTAGTTTAGCTTGACTAAACAGAGCTTGTACTATGATACGAGTAACTACACTGACTGATTATTATACTTTTTTTGTAAATACATACATATTATACACAGAAAACACCCAAACTCTGAAACAAATATTTACAGATCATACAAACATTTGGTCCGACCCGGGTATCGAGGTCTCCTCAGCACAGCAGTCGCTACCACGGCACAACCGAGGCTGTTAAAAGAAGGTAAGTGACTACCGCCGTATGGCTACCGTCTTATATCTACAATTCGTGAGTACAAACTAACAGTAAGCTAAATTAAGGCAGATTTATATATACCATACTAGCCTCCGCCTGCGATTTTGTCTGCTTAGTGGTCTACATCAGACATCGTAGAAGACACCCCTTTTTAAGGGTACTTTTGAAAAATTAGTTCAACGTTTTTGATTACTTTTAATGAAGAGTATTTACGAAGTTTCATATAAATTTTCAACACCCCTTTTTACACCCTTAGTGATGGAATTTTGTTGAACGTTGATCGATAAGTATATATCTATAAAAGAAGAAACGGCGATCTATAGGTCAGTGACGCAGTTTGACAGACTGGCGACAGACTATAGATCACCGTTTCTTCTTTTACAGATATAGAAATTAAACTTAAGTAAAGCGGTATCTGATCAAACAACTGGCAGAATCAACAGATTTTTTATATTAAACTGTTATTAGCATCTATATGTGTAGGTATGTATCCTTACATATTATAAAGGCCCACGGCCGCATCTGTCTGACTGTATGAACGCAATAAACTCAAAAACTATTAAACGGATTTTTGTAAGCGTTCCCCCATTATATAGTGTGATTCCTGAGGAAGATTTAAGTGTATAATGTATAATGGTTTAATGGAAATTTACTGAAATATAACTATAGAAACCGGGCGAAAAAAGCAACACGAATACCAAAATCCACGCGGGCGCAGCTAGTGTATATACTTTTGTACTGTATTTTTTGTAATGTAATGTATATACCCGTAATATGTATAGGTGCAGTATATAATAGGTTTGTATAAGTTTAAATATGTGATTTTGTATTCAGTTTAAATTGCTTTTAGTTTGTATAAAATTAACTGTAACCAAAACGCACCTATTCCCTGTTTTCTCTGCATCGCCCAATGGTTGATTGGTAAAGAATGCCAGTATGCCAATGCCTTAGGCATTAAGTTCGTCAATGCATCTAATGTGCATGGCATGTAAATAAATAAATTTATTCCCGAATATGAAATTGCCAGGACTAAGACAGGCGACCTTCCAACAAAAGTCGGTTTATACCCAAATCTCATAATAGCTTACACAAAGCTAGTGCTTATCGGACCTCCGAAGACAAACTTGGACCAACGAATGTCCAAACTTTGAGAACTGTCTGCTAATATTTAACATCAGTATGACACATGAAAATATTGATCATTTAAACTTCGACCTTGTGTCTTTTTATCAGGGTTCAAAATTCATTAAAGGATTATAGGAAGCTAAACTTAAGTCATATCCAGGATTCCGTATTAATTTCGTGTTCAAAGTTAGTGTTGAGACTATTAAAGGGAAAATCGATATCAAGATTTTCGCATATATCATAGAAAATAAGTACAGCTATAGGTAATAAAAGACGAACCAGGTACTTACAAGAGGCAATTTTTATAAGTTGTACAGGAAAATTGGTATGATTAACCCGTGCGGTGACGGATTAAGTATATTATGTGTGAGTCACCACCTATATAGACGGCTAAGGGAAAAAACTACGCAGGACAACAGCACTACAAAGAGAAGGAAAACTTGACACAAACCCTGTATCAACCAGTGTGGCCAGCGTGGTATAGTAGGCCAAAACTTCTTTTTAAGGAGAGGCCTAGGTCTAGCAGTGGACTATTAATGATGATGCTGATAATTTTTATTGCAAATATTAGTTTTTTATTAATTAATCATTGAATTTGTAAGTACACACGTCAAACGAAATATCTGGTCAGTAGTATGAATGTAGTACGTGTGATTTTAATGAAATCTTACAAGAGCTTTTGAAACAATATTATTTTTCAAATGTATTAGAGTTAAACCGCCGTAAGCTTGGCCCTCCTGATGGTTTGGGGGACGCGGGGCGGGTGATGCGCTATACATGACACGATGTACTAACTCGATATCTTCAGATTTATTTGTTTGAGATTTAATCTACACACGATGTAATAAAAATCGAATTTATTTCTATGTATTATAATGTCAGTGTATTGTAAGTTTTTATGATTAATTGTAAAATTTAATACTGTAAAATAATTTTAATAAAATAACCTTATCTTCATCATGTAAATTATATTCAGATACAATTAAAAAATTAAGTAAAATAAAAAATATTCTTTATTAGAACTTTAACAGTAGAACCTCTGTAAGCCGAACTTCAAGTTTTTAAATCTTTTTGTGACGCAGAGTTGGCAGATTATCCATGTTGCAAAATAATACCGTGTGTAGCAGTCTTAAGAAAAATAACACGTACAGCCATGCTTTCACGTCAGTCACTGCCGGCGGACAGCGACGCACTAGCTAATTGGTTGAATGCACCCCCGCCCCGCGTCCCCCAAACCATCAGGAGGGCCAAGCTTACGGCGGTTTAACTGTAGTAAAGAAACGAGTTATTTATTTACAATTCACACACACATGTAAACATATAATAATGTACTTACCGAAATAACATTGTCGTGTCAACCTGACAAAGTATTATGTTTGCTTTGTGTAGGTACATTCAAAATGAAGAATATTTTTATTTTTAATTATTTAATTATTTTAATTTACGGGAGTGCAATGCCATATTTTCACTATTATTTATCAGTTAATCCTTGTATGGTTCAGTAAATGACATGACAAGTGCGTAGAAGAACTCATAGTTCTCAGTTGTACACCCAAACGTACAAAGTAAATTCAAAGTAATACGTAAACACGCAAATACACATTTACATATATAAATATAAACATGTCAGTATAGGTTAAGGCAATATTCGTTACTTCGGATTACAGTGACAGCTGCCATTCAGATGGAACGTCACATAGTGCGGCGAGGCGGCCATCTTGTACAATAAAATTGAATAACCAACGACGATGCACGACGCTCACAGCAAATTGCTTATTTCAGACGCAGTCATTAAAACTTGTTGTTTCAACTGTAGCTTTATAGTGATCAAGCATAAATAAGCGAGTTATTAAGCCGAACAGTGGATTTTGGGAACTTTTTCAAAATTCTGTCACAAATGAACCGATTCAGAAAATTCTTTTTATTCTTTGCTTGCCGTTTGGTCCTGTTCAAATTTTGAACAATAAATACTAACCTACTACGGAATGAAGAATACTATACTTAATTTATTACGATGTGTGTGCATTGCAATCGACGTTAATAAAAATCAATTAAGTATTGTAAATCCTTTCATCCTCGACCCTACCTTTTACCAGAGCTGTCCTTAAAACAAGTTTTCCTTTTTTCGAAGTTTAAAACTAGTATGTTCATTTGAAAAACTCAAGTGAACACTATTTATTGTAATTGAATAATTATATTATATAAACAACTTTTAAATAGGAAAGGTTATCATCAAAACCTTCAAAGTTATTTATTACGAATATCTTTTCATAGAATTTGTACGTAATAAACAGTGTTATCAATTAAAAGGTCAATTATTGTAATTGTATTGTAGATAATTTTGAGTAACCGATACTAAAATTAACGATTTAAAATTCACCATCTATACAATGTGATATTCCCTGATTGCTCTCATGTGCTAAGATTATAAGTTAATTTTGTTTGTATAAACAAAGAAATATACATTGCTTGTAAAGTTCAAAAGTAATCACTTATCTAGGAGGATATAATTGATTTACTAAACTGTAGTAAGTGTAGTAATATTATTGCTTGAAGGCCTGCAGTAATAAAAAGTATTTAATCTGAATTTATGAAGAGGATTTTTTATTTTCATACAATTTTTTTGTAAGCACCTTACTCATACTAAAAATACTTAAAAGCTAAATTTAAATAATTAATAATACCTTTTAAACGTAGTTTCACTAGTGTAGTTTCCCTGGGGATTATTTTATGTGAATAGAGTTTCCCGCTTTATCGTTTCCTGGCAAATTGTCACTTTGTTGTGTTTGACATTAGTTTAGTTACAAAGTAAAGTCTGTACTTAAAAAAAAATCACTTTCTTCTATTGTTTTAAGCTTTAGATCGTCATGGTATAAAATGGTTCGGGAGCCTTTTTTTTTCTTGACTCATGTTTTAATAGGCGCCATCTAGCGTTTACTATCCAGCATTTACTAGATGGCGCTGCAATTTTTTTTTATGGTGTAGGGGCAAACAAGCAGACGTGTCACTGATGGTAAGTGTCTACCTCAAGAAGAACTCTAAAAGTAACTCAAGAATTACAAATGCGCTGCCACCTTTGATTCCTGGGCTCTGGTAACCTCAATCATTTCAAATGCAAGCCGAATTACAGACAAGGAATTACTTATTATTAGAGAACTGCACGTTACTAGGCTGCAGCACTTCGGACATCATCTAGATGATGCCTCTTTGTTGACGGAAAATAACCAATATATGCTTCTATATAGACACATATCGAAAACCTGGAACTAGTAATACTAGCATAATAGTGGTTCAGAGATCATATAATTATATCAATTATAGTGAATGCTTATCTAATAATACTATTAAATTTATCAGGCTACATAATAATATGACGGTGGACCGATGGCCGTTGGAGCAAATGTAGAGAAAGAATGCAAATATGTAGTCAAAAGACCCCCAGTCAGGTGGATTAACGAGCACCAGGGACTTCCTTTCTAGGGTATACCTGGTTCCCCGGCTATTAGTACCCGTGACAGCGTGCGGTTTTAGTCGATTCGAGTCCGACATGCCACTGATAGGTGGTATCCGAGGGAAAAAAAAAGGTGCATTAACGAGCTAAGGAAATTAACTGTAATAGATTTGATGCTGAAGGCAGAGTATAAAGGGCTAGTGTTCATGTTGGGAAAGAAATACACGTAAGTGATGAATAACACAAATAAAACAACACTTAATATATTATTATATTACTTAAAAACAATATACATTAAATATATAAATTAATGCTGGTAGAACTGGTTATCCTTGCCTTTGTTATCAGCGAGGTATTTCTCAAGCCAGGCATCAATTACAGGTAGATTCTCAGCTGACCACGTCACTTCCTCCCTTATGTTCCTCATAGACTTCTCAATGATATGCTCAGCGGATCCAAATTCTCCCTGGTGCGTGACGTAGAGGTGTGAGACGAGGTCAAGCCCTTCTTCGGTTGTGAACGCAGATGTAGCTGATGTTATAAGATTGTCCCAGAGATTGGTTCGACTTGAATACCTGAGAAAATTTAAGAACAAATGAGATTAAATCTTTTTACATTTGCTTTGAAAGATAAATAATAAGGAATAAGGAAGAACCTTGTGGTGACGGATTGAGAATACAGAGTGTCACCAGCCCTATTCATACCGTGGGTGTCGTAAGAGGCGACTAAGGGAGCAAACTACGTAGGACAACAGCACTACAGAGAGAAGGAAAACTTGACACAATCCATATACCAACTCGTCTGGCCAGCGTGGTATAGTAGGCCAAAACCTCCTTTCTAAGGAGAGGCCTACGTCCAGCAGTGGACTATTAAAGGCTGTTGATGATGATAAAAGAAAAAATAAGGAATTAGCCAAACCGACTATATTTCTCTGTTGCTCTCAAAAAGCCCAAAACGATTTTGGAATGAAATGATAGATAATCAATGAGAATAGAAGATTGCTTCGACCCCAAAGAAATTTAGAAAACCTGTAAGAAGATGATGATGTACAGAGGCTCCAAAACCGTTCAACTGCATATTACATATATCGAGACTTGGTTTTAAGTGCAGGCAAAATGAGAAAACAATATTTTACTCATTCTGATTGCAACAACTCAGATAATTATGTTAGCTAATCGTTTTAAATCAAAACTTTATAGTAAGTTGAAATTAAATATCTTAATTTCAATAAATTGTCCTCAATTATTATAAATATTTTATTGATTTTTAAACACTCAATACTAAAAATAAATACACATCATCATCAGCCTATCGCAGTCCACTACTGGACATAGGCCTGTCCTGACATAGATGTTGGGCACACATACAAATAACAATATAAATATCTAATTTACACAAAATCGCAGCAAACAGGAAGAGCGTTAAACGTGACTTAACAATAACAAAATGATACATAAAAGAGAAGAAGAATAGAATTATGCAAAGCCTAAGTCACTGTCAAAAACAAAAAATTAACACGCATATTATACACGCAAGGATGAATTAGAAACTCTTTTATCTTTAAACGTAGTCATGACTGACATTCAATTGCCAATTCACTGTCATCTACGTGACAGACTTGTGCACTTCAACACCGTACAACTGTCGAGTTCTCGACGACCTGCCAATCAGAGAACTAAAGGTACTGTTCAAAAAAATATTCAGTATTAAGACCACAGCACTCTATTTATTTCTGATCTTACATGCCTCAGAGTTTCTCTAATGTAATTAGACAGTTAAAACGAGCAAATACGTCATTCCTGTACAGTTTAATCTGTTATTTTAATAAATTAGCAATGGGTAAAATCTCTGTGCACCTAAAACTCACCTTTCCTTCAAGACATCCCAGTTGTTGCTCAAGAAATGGAAGAGCGTCGTATAACCCGCAGATGATCCAGTCAACATACTGAATATTAAGAACATGTCCGTCTCCGAAAAGTTACCATTCCCTTCCAACATCGTCACATTCAAGATCTTGACAATCTTGGCTTCAGTTTCGGGGCATCCGGCTAGGGTTTTCAAGAGGTAGGTCCGTTCACTTTGTTTTCTTGAAGAGGGGAAGTTGATGACTCGTTGTAATCCAAATTCCCATTCCTTCTGAGTACCCCATCTGAATACTGGACAAATGTACTGGTTGGCAAGACTGTGAAGTAAATAAACCTTTCATTAAAAAAATATTTCATTGTTTACAATATAACAGAACAAAATTGTATAAACATGAACAACAGTTTAAACTAAAATATATTATAAAACTAAAGTTATAGAAACTATGCGTTTAATAAATACATAGTTACACAACTAATATAATATAATAATCCATACAATGGTAGTTTGATTGGATTAGAAAGGTTTGTTATAAGAGACAGCGTTTTGCGATAAGACTTATCTTAATAGCACTATAGTTATTTTTACTACATTTTTGGGCATACGAGTATCTGTTTTGTTGTGCCTATATAAAAACTTTTTGTTCAATTCATTTGTGAGTTAGAATATATGTTATGCAAACACCTTAGAACCTTTTTTCCCGGAAGAATAAAACTCAAAAGATCTTTTACAAACTTTTAATGAAAATTACGTTACACCTTCAACCGGCTCATTAATGTAAATCTTAATAATATTTTGGCTACTGCATTTCTTACAAGTTACTATGCGTTATTGAGGAATAATATATTTTTATATTAATATATTGATATAATAAATTTATTTTGACGACCGGATGGCCTAGTGGTTTGTGTAACGGACTGCTATTCCAAAGGTCGCGGGTTCGATTCCCGCTCAAGTCAAACGTTTGTGTGCATGAACATTTAATGTTTGATTTGGTCTGGGTGTTTCTATGAAAAAAAGTATATATGTATTTATATCATAGTACAAGCTCTGCTTAGTTTGGGACTAGACGGCGTTCTGTGAATGTGGTTAAAAAAAAAAAAAAACAGAATCGCACGAGTCAATGACCCTAAAAGAATCTTATCTTAACTTATTGTGTTACCTTTCACGATATCGACCTCGATAAAGGGCTGTATTTAAAGTAATGGGGTGTATTCAGGGTTCAAGAGCTAGGTTTTCGTATCTCCTTTTTGAACTTAAGTGTGTAAAAGAATACCTGAGATATTTTTGCGCTGGAGGAACTATAGAATCTACAAAAATTTAACGCCACTAGTGTAAAAGATTTAAACAACAGTATTTGGTAATATTATCCACCCAGATCTAAACTCGCCACTCTCGTTAGTTTTGTCAACCTAATGAGATACATTGCCATATAAAACAGAATATTGGAGATAGCTTTTTGAAGACTGCGGTTGTGTGAAGTGGTTTAAGCGGTCGCCACGCCGCTTCCTACTGCACCGAGTGTTGTGGGTTCAAACCCCACATGGGACGACACTTTGTGTGATCCACAAATTGTTGTTCGAAGTCTGGGTGTTCTTTGTGTCCGTTTCATGTGTGTTTGTTAAGTCCCACGCGACACAGGAATGTATTCCTAATGCAGGAGTTGTAATTAAGAAAAAAAAAACTCAACTCTCCAGACGGGTATTACAGGTGCCACATAGCTTACATTAGCCCAAAATGTTCCTTCAATACATGTATCGCTTCTAAACAAGAAAATGGTTCGATGGTAAATGTTCATTTTCTACCGAGTTTTCTATCTCCAATACTCTCTTAAAAGTTGCTAGCTACCAGCTAGCTAGTATCGGTATATTATGCAATGGTGTCCGTGTAGTGACGGATTAAGAATACGGAATGTCACTACCCCAATTCATCCCGTGAGTTTCCTAAGAGCCGACTAAAGGCGCAAAACAACGCAGGACACCAGCACTGCAAATAGACGGAAAACTTGACACAAACCCTATACCAACCCGTCTGGCCAGCGTGGTATAGTAGGCCAAAACCTTCTTTCTAAGGAGAGGCCTATGTCCAGCAGTGGACTATTAAAGGCTGTTGATGTGATGATGCAATGGATTATACAAAGCATAACGAACAGCGTTTTTAACAGTAGGTTGGTCTTGTGCTGAAGTATCGCAATACTTACGGGTTGCCTTCGTCCGGATTCTTAGCTTGCATCCATATGTTGTAATGTTCCTGTGCTTCCCTGACGCATGGTTTGTAACCAGCTTTGCAGAGGAATGATTTCGTAAATGAGCGTAAGTTCTTCTTCCAAGGCTCTTCGTCTTCCTTTTCATCTTTGGCCAGTTCTTCATACAGAGGACTCAGCAGGATTCTGACGTAGGCCTGTTAATTAAAAAAATTATTATAATTCTTAATAGAAAATTAATTTAATTAATAGAAAAGTAAAGATCAGAATATAAAGCAAATTATAGTACCATGGGAGAACCATCGCCGAATGAGGGGGAGGTTACAGGAGTCTAAACCCCTGACTTTAGGGATAAGGACTCAAAAGGCGGCAACGCACTTTTTCTATGCTACTTACTATCAGGTGACCTGTCTGCTCGTTTACTCCCTTACATCTTACTTAAATAAATAAAAAAGCTGTTATTGAAAATCTAATGAACAGAGTTGAATCACCGTGTGCTTGTGAATTTGTGTGTGTGTGTGTGTGTGTGTGTGTGAAGTTATGTGTGTGCAGTAGTAAAATGTCTAACACTTCTAATGAAATTTGAAGACTCTCACTCTCACTTAAATTGAATAAATAAAAATTCCTAAATCCCTCAATAAGGCAATATTTATCATCATCATCATCATCATCATCATCAACAGCCTATAACAGTCCACTGCTTGTCATAGGCCTCTCTTTAGAAAGGAGGTTTTGGCCTAATATACCATCCTGGCCAGACGGGTTGGTGCAGGGTTTGTGTCAAGTTTTCCTTCTCTTTGCAGTGCTGTTGTCTTGCGTAGTTAGCTCCCTTAGTCGACTCTTACGACACCCTCGGGATGAATAGGTGTGGTAATATTCCGTATGCTTAATCCGTACAATTTTAATATTCTCCTCATAAAGATTAAGGTTTCTTTTATACGTTGTAGTTGTTGAATCAATCTCTTCCTTTATTACTATGAAAAAATATCTTACCTGGAACTTCCCTTGCAAACATTGGCAAATTTGTCTTCCGAGATGATCGATCATTGTAAACACCGGATCCCACACCAGGTGATGTCTTTCATTCTTTAAGAATAAAGTCATATTGAAAGCAGTAGCAAAGGAAAGTTCTCCAGCGTAAGCCAAATTCCAAGCATCATGTAGAAGTTTCGCTCTAGTAAGTTCGGGCATCTGCTGTCGCTTGTCACTTTGAAGGAAGTTTGATAGAAGAATCCAATTCTCTTGATCATAATTTACTGGGTAAGGAGCTGCAAAACAAGAAACTTATAAACCTGAAACTAAACAAATATAAATAACAGAGTTCGTATATGGTTCGTATATTCCACGTGAAGCGGACGAATATACAAAGCGAGATTTTGAATTTATTATTGCAAAATTTGGAATCTCGATTAGATCCTGTTGAACTCTAAGCCAAAGAGTTCTACTATCCTTATAAATATTACTTTTTAAAATAAAATTATTTCTTTTGTGCTTGAATAGGTCCCAAGATAATTAAAATTCTCAATTTTGTCCAATCAGAGTTGTTCACTATTTTATATTTGATTTCAGTTTTATACTTAGTCCTCATTGCAAAAAAAGTGGGTTGTTGCAGTACGTACGATAAAAATTCCATAAATAAATTTCACAACAATATTTTATCGCCTCTACGTACTCGTCTTTTACAATTTGTAATTGAAGCTAAAAATAAAGGCGATCATAAAATTCATAATAGCTAACTGTCCTCTAAAGGTCGCTTCAAAATTCAGGACGCATATTTAACATCTTCAGTCGAGCGCGAGACTGCAATTAACTCAAGATTTGTATCATAAGTCTCAATCACAATACAAAGATATGCAAATAATAAGCCAGTCCATTCGTCAGTCTCTTTTAAACAAAGAAATTGAATGAAACACATTAAAATGGATTTCTGAGTGCCCTTTCAACTGCTACTGCTTTTTGATGAGCAAAATCTATTGAAGGACATCTTAAAAACATTTATATATTTGGTAATGGAATTTAAATTACTTTTTCAACAAACTACTGCTTAAAGTAACAAGATTACTGAAATTTCTTATAATGCATACACCATTTCATAGCAATCCCTGCAACTAAAGTCATCATACATTTTATCACGCTTAATACGATGTCTCTCCCCATCTTATATTAAGTTGACGTCGTAAGGAGAACCCCTCCATACTGCGGGGTTCCTCTGGATATTTTTCCGTTGCTCATAGAACTTATATTTAATCCAAGGTCTCATAATAGATATGATGAACACATAGTGAATATAAAGAGGAGTCAACTCTGATTTTAAAACTAACTTCAAAAAAATGAAGAGGTTTTCATAAACATACAATATAATATGTTTAATTTATCTGATCCCGCACAATATTTCTTCTTTTATAAGACACACGATTTACGAGATTGTGAACGTGTTACGCTACTCCACATGCTAAATACTTACCAATTTCTTCAGGGTTGACAACAATAAACTTGTCTTTGTCTGGCATGCTGCTGACCTTCAATTCCTTATTATCCTTCATCCATATAGCAGGTTTGATGTTCTTCAAGTCCAGTGTGTCTTCTTGGACGACGACAATGGGTACCCACCAAGACATTTTAGCTGCTTCAGGGACATCGTGAGGACGATCGCGGAGATAAAGTTTCTGTTGATGAAATCACGGTTTTTTCGTGACCAAGAGACTTAAAATGACTGAGAGAGATACTTGCTAACTATATGTGTCAAATTATCATTCGTTTAGCTATAACATCAAACCAAAATCGAACACTAAACTAACAAGTATTTCCGAATAACAAAATTGATCTAACTGCAGAAAAATTCTAAACATCTTTAAGATTGTAAAATTTCAGCCTTTACAGTTTTTCTTTTCTGGAATCATATTTCTTTTATTTTTTTGTTTTTTGAGCGTGAGCTGTAGGTCAGAAACCGGTCTTGACTAGGAGCCGTTCAAGTCCTTGTCACTTTTTAGTTTATTTAACATGAGAAAGTCTTAACTAGTATGTTCATGATTACTAATTGTGGAGTATTACTGATGAAAGATACTGAGATTGGATGAACTGGAATTAATGTAATCTGGTGGTAGCAAGCAATAAATAATTAGGGTCTTAACCTATGAAATAAATACTTTTATCTATTATACTGCTAGACTTAGGCCTCTCCCAATGCACATAACCATTGCATTGTTTATGATGCATCCACATTACTAGTCCATATATGAATGAATAGGTTCCTAACAGTGCGCAAGCTGCCGAGGGCAAGCCCCGAAAGACAGTGGCCAAGATCATGGCATCATTTGCCATGATCTTGGCCACTGTCTTTCTTTCGTTCTATCATCTCTGTCCTAGTCTGTACTAGGCGTGAATGTATTTATTTATATATGGCAATAATTTAATAGTACAACAACACTGACTCCATCAAAACATCGATTACGATTATTAAAATTATTCCTAAATAATGAAATCACAAATAAACTTATATGAATCCAGATAAGAGATTGGTTACGTACTTGGGTTACGAGAGCAGTCTTGCTATCATATTGTCTCCGAACATTAATCAGAGGCAGTCTATCCTTGTTGATCCAGCTCTTAGCTACCGTCTTGATATCAACCTCCTTGGGAATTTTGTTGTCTTCCAATGCCGCAGTATTTAGGGCATTCCAAATGTCATCACCCGAGAACGTTTTGAACTTACTGTGAGAGTAAATGAAAAATAATTAGTTATTAGTAGTAATTAAAATCAAACATTAAGTGTTCAAGCACACAACTGTTTGACTTGAGTGAGAATCGAACCTGCGACCTTTGGTATAGCAGTCCGTTAGACAAACCACTAGAAATGCTTTTGCAATTTCCTGTCGTCAACGTACCGGGGTACGTTGAATGTTGCAGAAGACATGAGCTTTTAACTAGTTACAATATGAAGCAGAACTCACCGCGACTCCAAGAACCTTTGCAACCCCTTCTTGAAAGTGTCGTTTCCAAGTGTATAGTTAAACATACGGAACAGTAGCTCAATCTTCGTACAAGCGGTCTCCTGCTTCATCCCAGTGATGCGAGAATGTGGATAGCGCTTGCTGAACTCGTAGTAAAGAGAGTAGAGGACTGTTAGTGGCCACTTGCCTTCCATTTCTGAGCCGTCGTTTATCTAAAGCAAATTTGGTGGAAATTTATCATAAAGTAACTCATACGAAATTAACTAATATGTTTATTTGATGTCATTCTCGATTTTTCTGCTACCTACCATTTTTTTCTTTTATTAGAGGGGGCAGACGCGCAGAATGTTCACCTGATTAAAAGTGACCATCACCGCCCATGACCGTTTGCAACTCAGGGATCACAAATGTTTCACATTGACAAATAACATATATTATACTCATTTTTTTTATTTGATACCTCCCCTAATATATGCCAAGATCCTGTCCTCTCTCCCTATAGTTTACTTTTAATATTAGTATTTCGTTTTAAATAATTATTATTTAAGTTAATCAAAATGGCTCAAAATTTCCCTAGAAGATTATGACGAAAACCTAAGCCCTCTCCCCGCGTTTGAACAAGAGTGGGTGAATCAATCCCACCCACACACCCTACCCTAAAACGGGTAATGCAGTATAGATATGTTCCTTTCAATAGAAATATTTAGACCTAAATTAAGTACAGTAGTATAGTAGAGAAGGAAAACTTGACACAAACCCTTTTTTTTTTTTTTTTTTTTTTTTTTTAACGTGTGGAAATCCCCTCGGACCGTCACCCCACCGGGGTTTGCGGCGGGGTGGTGTGTCTCAGACCGACTAAAACCACACGGTGTGCCACTCTGCGCCTGTAACAGGAGGGATCCGGGAACAGCTGTTATTAAGACATCCGGACCCCTCCTAGCGCCAGCCCGCTCCTGGTGCGGGCTCCGTCTCAAAAATTTCCTCGCACACGCGGACGCCGCCCCCTCGCGGCTGGCCAAACTAATGCGGGTGGAGGGGAAACCCACCCCGTCCACCCGCGGCCACACTCAGGGCGGCATGAGGCGGTGATAGGCGCGCCTCCGTCGCCCGGTTCGCCGGCGGCGGATCGGGTCCGAGTGGAGGTCGGCCTCCCGGGCCTTCTCCGCCGCCTCCTTCTGCGAGATTACTTCCTCGCAGAAGGTTGCGACCGCGGTAAAACAACTGTCGCTACCGGCCATGGCCTACGGCCTACGTACTACGGCCGGTAGCGAGAGATCCACTCCGATGACTGCAGTGAGGGCCCGGCGCTGCGTCGCACATGCGGGGCAGACCGCCAGCGTGTGCTGGGCCGCAGTCGCAGTGGTGGCAGGCGGGACTCAGTTCCCTCCTAGCGACCGAGTGCAAGTACTTTCCGAAGCAACCATGCCCGGAAAGCACCTGCGTCAGCCGGAAGGTAAGGGTCCCGTGCTGCCGCCCTGCCCACTCGGCGATGACCGGCTGGAGAGCCTCCACGGCGGCGAAGCCGCCCACACCGGTGCACCGTATAGTGCCATTGACCGGACAACCCCCGTGTACAGCCGTCTTGTCGCGACGCTGGGTCCACCCAAATTGGGCAAAAGTCGCCCTAGGGCAGACGCAGCGCCGACCAGCTTTGGAGCAAGCTGTCGGAAGTGCTCGTCGAAGAGCCAGCTCCCGTCGAGGATCAGGCCCAGATCTTTCATCTGGGCCCGAACGAGGACCGAGTTGACCACGATTGAGGCGCCAGGGGGTGGACCACGACGGGGCCCATGAAATAACAGGGCCTCCGTCTTATCTAGGGCCACCCGTAAGCCCAGCGCTTCAATGCGCCCGACCACCACAGGGAGACGCCCCTTGTGGCCAGGCGCGCCGCCTCTTGGAAGTTCGCCCCGAGGGCTGTCACCAGAGTGTCATCTGCGTAACAAATTACACCCAGCCCGGGGGGGAAATCGGCTCGAAGGGCCCAGTCGTACCCTATGTTCCACAAGAGGGGTCCAAGAACAGACCCCTGTGGAACACCGCACGACATGGGCCGACACCTCAAATTACCCTCTCGGTCCACGTACACGACGGTACGCTCCTCTAAATAGTCTGCCACTAGCCGCCTCAGGTACTTTGGCCCCCCATGATAGTGGAGTGCTTCCCTGATGCAGCTGAATGGCAGACTATTGAATGCGTTGGCGATGTCCAATGACACCGCCAACAGCACGCCGCCACAGCTCACGGCCTCTTCGGTCACGGCCCTCAGGCGCAACACAGCGTCGACTGTCGAACGCCCCGCCCGAAAACCAAATTGGGCGTCCGACAGATCGGGGCCCACCTCGTAGAGGTGCCGGACAATGCGGGCAGAAAGAACCCTCTCAAACAATTTACCCGCCTCGTCCAGCAGCACGATGGGCCAGTAGGCCGCGACCGAATCGGCAGGCCGTCCCGGCTTCCTTAATAGGACCAGCTTCCCGCTCTTCCAGCACTCAGGGAAACGTCCCGAACTTGACCCAAACCCTATACCAATCCGTCTGGCCAGCGTATAGTAGGTCAAAACCTCCTTTCTTAGGAGGGGCCTATGTCCAGCAGTGGACTATTATAGGCTGTTGATGTGATGATGCCATGTGATAACTGCTATCGCTTGGGACGATACATACGTTATTGCTTTATTTAAGAACAAAGTACAACATTGTGTGAAAGGAACATCCACCATGGTCCCTTTCGAAAATAAACCAGCAAAACATAATGCGGTGGAACTTCAGGCGTCGTGACCGACCATCGTTAAAAGGAATGTCACACTCAGCCTGTGCGGATCAATGGTTATCAAGTACTTGATTGGTTTTTCTTTTTAATAAAAGGTCAATCTGAGGTCAAAAGTTGTTGGCACTTCTTAAAATAATAATTACAAGCAGTGCAAGTAATTTTAATAACACACAAACAGCTGAATATGTGATTTACCTACTTTGTTTTATATATATTAACAGAAACTATATCTATATTCAATTTATTTATTCATATATCTCTTGCCACATTTGAACATAATTCGAAAAAGCGCAAAACTTCCCTAGAAGATTTTAACTACATGACGAATACCTAAGGCCTCCCCTCGCGTATGACCAAGCGTGGTGGACGCTATCCCAAAATGGGTCATGCAGTATAGCCGTACTTCAACCTTATCATAGCAGACTTAAAGCCGACCCCAACCTAGTTATGGAAAAAGGACCAGAGAAAGATGAAGAAGTCCACTGGACAAGTTTCTTTTTTTTTTTGGTCCTTACTTAGAAACTGCAAAATGGCTGGCCTTTATGGCATAGGGAGCAAACGAGAAAACTGTTCACCTGATAGTAAGCGACTAGCGCCGCCCATAGTCAAATGCAACTCAAGAAGTATAAGTCCATTGTCATCTTTAGAGTGCCCTCTCCCAAAGAATTCGTGGAAATGGGGGGAGGTTCCTGTAACTTAACTCATTCAGTGAAAACAACGAAAGAAATGCTTAACACTGGTTTCCAATAAAGCCATGGCATCACTTCAGTTTAGCTGGCCACTATGTGCTGAAGAATGTCTCTCCCACAATAAATACACAGTTTATAGTCCTTGTTTCAGTGGTTTGTTGACCACAGGACTAACATATGGGTACAAAATCAAAACTTCTTTAAGCTACAGCTGGCCTTATTTGCAGCCAGCATTTGCATGTCCTTTCTCCTACTGCAGTTGCCTAATCCATTTTGTAAAAGAAAGACGATACCTTAAACGCTGTAGCAGCAGCTATGTAACCAACAAGCGCCTTGTTGAGATGTGCATCCGACCACCAAGCTGGTGTAGTAAAGGCGCCGAGCCACTGATACGATAACTCCTGGGTTAACTGGAAGTAGCCACGACTGCTCAGGTCACTCTCTCTGAAAGAACACGTGTCTATACATATTACAGGCTTTCGACATTTTTCTTATTAATGACGCCCTGGTATGTAACAAGATTTCCGAGAAGCTCTTAGATTAATTTCAGAGGAAAACATCAAAAAAATAAAAGTAAATAAACAGAATAAAAAAGAACTAAAATATTCCATTGTACGGACCCAAAAAGGCCACCACCTTAGAATAATGCTGCATGTACATGGTGTTGTCGCCTCTGAAATAGGACGTTGCTTTTCAGAAATTCGGAATTGCATAAAAAAAAACTACAGACAGTAAGGAGTTTTCAGCCTAAGATTGTCACCTTGGCCTTTGCTTCGGGCTTTATATGAAGATTTAAAAAATGTTTTGTAGTTTTAAAACTATGCAAATAGTTAACGTGCTTCTAACTTCTTTACAATTACTTAAACTTTTCTTAGAAAGCTCCATACCTATACATACTACTTTCCCTTATAAATTGTTCAATCGGTATCAGCTATCCTGTACCTGTCAACTGTGCTATTCCGTAGTAATAAATTATACAGTATGAAACGCAAAACTTTAAAGTTTGAAAATGACACTGTTAAGTTATACAATATTAGTAAAAACAATGATTGCTGGATTGCTAATTCATAAATTATGTTCCTCATTTGTTTCAAAGCCGTTTTACTTACTTACCTGAACACAATAAGGCCCCAGTTGTCGGCAGGCTTTACTCCTTGATAGTTGGGTAAGGCTACAACATCCAATCGGCGTAGAGGTAGAGGCACCTGCCAAAACTGGGCGAGCTCTTTGAACACTCGCATTAATTTTTCGTTTACACCTTCAAGAGCTTCGAGGTATTCTGGACGGCCCCAAACTCGCAGTTCTAGGGGAAATTCATAGATTACGAATTATAATGGTAATTCTAAGATATATATCGATTATACCAAAAGGGGCATGGAGGGGATGGGTCCAAATGTGGTGCCTTTTACTTTGACATCCTATCAGAGATAAGACAGTATAGTAAAATTATTTACTCGCTGCAGACTCCTTATAAATAATCGAAGAGAGATAGGAGATCTTTCTTCCTCTTTCTCTCTGTTTATCTTAGTGTTAAAATTATGATATAGATGAAAAATAATGAAAAAAACCGGTCAGGTACGAGTCAAACTTCCTTCCGAGGGTTCCGTACCTAGGTAGGTACGGAACTTACAATTTTGCGTGAAAATTGTAAGTACCAAAAGAACAATGGCAGAAACATATTTACCTAAAACTGAAGCGTTTAAAAAATTGACTAACAGTAAACTTACTAAATATTTTTTCTATGATTTATCATTATACCGCCATGTGTTGTATAAGTCTAATAAGAGATTGGATATTTTTAAAGATTTTATTTCACCTAAGTACGTAATGTCAGAATCGCCATCACGAACTGACTAGGGATGCGTGATGACATTATTATATTATGGAACGTTTTATCGATAAGCGATTGTTATAACTTTGGCTTAAATATCTATCGAAGGTTCACCTATTATGATTATGAATTTGCTTCTACCCACGGGTTTACTCTTACGCTACCGTAACTAGTACTGTAGTGACTAAATCAACCTAATTAGAAATAATTTAGAATATTTTTGACTCTTTTTAAAAGATTTTTGCTACACCAAAATAAATAGAATATAGTTACGTTATTTTCCTACAGAAAAATACTAAAACAATATACTGCTTAGTGTGATGAGAAAAAGACATTGTAGGTTGATAACGGCATATAAATAGACATGCATCGATATTTTTAAAATGTCGATACGTCGTCGTCGCACTTACTATAACCCGGCAATCTCGTGCGCGACCGTCCCGCGGGGTGACAGACAGTGGCGGGGGCGAGGTAGCGCGTCATTCTAGCACACGGCTACACACGATTCCCTTCCCCGCTGCACCACCCGCTACCCGCTGACATCGTGAGTACCTCGTCCCCGCCACCGTCTGTCACCCCCCAGGACGGTCGCGCACGACGTTGACGGACTATAGTCTTGTCGTTTGACACTTACACGCATGACTTACATACCATTTCTCACAAGGCAATTGTAGTTTATTTGGTTGTTTTACTTTTGTTTAGTATTAAACTCTCATATATGTTTATTTTAATTTTATATAGTGTTACTCCATTATGCATTATGTGGTGCCTTAAAATGTTGTGCATTAATCTCAATATAATGGATGCATGCTTTAGATTTTAGTAAATAATGTCACAACCACTGACTGTTGAATAACTAAATAATTAAATAAAAGCTCCCGCCTTGTGTAAATGTGTATTGAAGTACATTTATTCAAATGATTATTAATAATTTATGTATTTATGGCTAGTATTACACCTGCTAAGTAAGCGAAGTTTTTTTTTTATTGTTTACCAATCAGGGGCGTGTCCTCCTTGTAGGCAGAAATGCATTGCTTTACTTGCTATTTACAGACATTTTAATAAAACGTTGGTACGTTTTAGATGACTTTAATTAATAGTAAATAAATGAAAAAACAAAATATAATAACTTAAAAACGCCTACTATTTAAAAATAGCACCACACAAACATTGTTTGCCAGGTGTTTACCGAAAAGCAAGCGCAACGCAAAGCAACTCATGCCGTCGCCTCGCTCAGGACATTTGTTCGCATGTGTGTTGTAATTTTGGTCCGTGCACAGTTCGCAAACGCACACACCCATTTATTTTATATCCCCGACAGGCCCCGACTACAGCCGCAGGATACTGCAGTTGGCCGTTCGGGTCCCGCGCTAATCGTGGTCGTGAATACTCGGAAGCGTTCGTTGCCTATAAATCTACCCAATTACAATAGTCAGAAATATAATAAATCATGTATGCGGATTATGAATTTTGAATATGGTAAGGTTTTATTTGTTTAATTAGCAGATATGTTTCTTGTTCGCGGGGGAAATTTTGATTTTTTTATGTGATAAGCATTGTTTACTATTTTCTTTCCGCCAGTATAATTATAGTTTTATTTGAAAGTGTACATTTAACAGTTTATTACTGAGTTCCGTTGATTTTTTAAAAATGTTATTTGATTGTGAGTTATGAGTGGATAATGTATGTCTATTAAAAATTAAAAATAACAAGTTCTCACAATTGCCATTCAGTGAAAAGATTAAAATTGTGTCTAAAGGTACGTGTGTACCCAAGTTACAACAATTAAACAAGCAAAAAGGAAATGTAACTCGCAAGTTTCATGTTAAAAGTTATGAAACGTATAACTGGCTGTGTGGTTGTGTACACACGATTAAATTATATTGTTTTCCTTGCATATTTTTTAGTAATTCTAGTACAGTGTGGACTGATTCGGGATATTCAGATTTAAATAATTTCTATTCCGCAGCAAAGAAGCATGATGCATGGTGAGTAGTTATAATATTTTAGCTTATTATTTTACTTATTAGAATTTCTTCCGCCGCGACGATCTATCGCTGTTTTGTCTGCGTTCCCGTTGAAGATGTACATGAATAGTAGTACATCTAAGACTTGTGCTAAAAATCTATAAAAGAAAAAGTGACCGACTACTCCGCTGCATACCTAGTGTCATAATCCTGTGCACGCCACTGTTACCAATACATGCCAAGCAAATACCCTTCCTTCTTTCACCCATTTAGAGAGTCGGCTAACACTTTCTACAGCAAAATAGGGTTGCTTATAAGTAATAATAATTATGAATAATATTTTCGAATATATGACACACAACGCCATCTAGTTTCAAACAAAACATTTACAATATTTTAGTACTTAACCTCGAAACATTCAAAATCCAATATCTTTTTTCCTAGACTTCTTTCGCTAGTAATTTTTTTATGAGAATGTTCAAGAATAAATTCTCAAGGGTCATAGGCATTTTTGATATTTAAACGCTGTCATTTCACTTCAAATAAAATTATGTATGGGGACCTGCCATTGTCCTTTATGTTAATTTTTAACTTTTTTATTTTTTGTAATTATTCCTTTATTTGTGCTCTAAGACGTTGCTTTTTGCCAAATTTCGTGATTCTAGGTCAACGGGAACTACCATATAGGTTTTCGACCCAAAACCTATAGGATACTTCCGGTTGACCTAGAATTGACAATTTTGGTTAAAAGCAAGGTCTTACAGCACAAGTAAAGAGAAAATTCTGAAAAATAAATAAAGTAGAAAATTAAGGTAAATTTTCGTACTTACAAGTTTTCGTGAAAATCTCAATTTGCCCATACCTTTTTATCGTGTTGACTCAGGACCTTGATTTTTATATACCTAATAGGGACTATAGACTTCAGTATCTGGTATAAATTTCAACTTGTGGTCTACCCGTTCCTGAGAAAATCGGTGGTGTCACACGGACAGACGGACAAGAAAGTAATCTTATAAGGGTTCCTTTTTTACCTTAACCTTAACGGAACCCTAGAAATGTTGCGATCCAACAGAGAAGTCATGAATCAACCTTAATTTTACTAAATAAAATATAAGAATAAACTTAAGAAAATTAATACCCGTGACAGTAACGCTTCTTTGATTTTTAGTCAATATGCAGCGAATGAATAATTCCATCATATTATAGTGATATAGATTTTTGACGTGACAACGTCTTGTAATTCGATGGAGCCGGCTGCACGCACGAAAAAACATCACACATGCGGCGTTACCTCGCTCTGAGGTGTTCCATTTAAGGCGTGAAGTGCAAGCGAGAGCGCGGAACGAGTGACAAAGAGGCACAATCGGCCTCCGCGTTCGGCAGCGTTCGACATCTGTGTCTCTCCTACTTGAGTGAGCGATGCGTCCGCGTGGACAGCTGCTACTCGTATACAATAATACATTTTTGAAAAATGCAACCATTCCATCAGTATTTTCTTATGACGTTGTCACGTTCAACTATCGTCAGTAAACCGACTTTACAGACAACCGATTTTTTTTACTGATGATCTAAGATATCACTGAGTTCCTTGCATTTAAGGGATCGTTTCAAATTATATTTCAACAGCCTTAATAGTCCACTGCTGGACATAGGCATCTTCTTAAATATAAGGTTTTGGTTTTTCTACTATACCACCCTGGCCAAACAGTTTGGTATAGAGCTTCTGTCAAGAGTCTGTACCTTTCTCTTTGCAGTGCTGTTGTCCTGCGTATTTTGCTCTCTTAGTCAGCTTTCCATCCCACGGGATGAATAGGGGTGGTGATACTCCGTATTCTTAATCCGTCACCACAGGGATAGTTTAAACTATCAAATAAGCTTGAGTGACCATACTTGCCACATATCACCGGTACCACGGACAGCGAATATTTTTGCTAATGTTAAATGATTTCGTAAACTTACGACCGCGTTCATAAGCACTGCTTCGCTCCTAAACTCCTTGCGTAATATTAAGTAACCTATAACCTTTCTGCAGATAAGATTATGCAAAACCATAAATTAGCTTATATTAGCTAATAAAAACAATTTTATGGCCTTTATTGCACTAGTATAGATTTTATCATCTATTTCAATCCATCTACAATATGAGGAGTTTTAACAATCTGCATTCCATATTCGAAACAAAAAAAAATACTGCTGTATTAGGAACTTCGTTCTTTTTTTAAAATTAAAAGCAATGAATGATAATGTTACATACCAATCTCATTGCCGATATCATCCTTGTATGTATCGGATTCTCCCAATTGCTTTAAATCTGCAATCACTAAACCCAGTGTGAACGTAGACATTGGAGGAGTTTTCTCAAAATGGTCACATACTGCATCTGGTTCGTCCGGACTGTAACAAGGACAGATAACATAATAAATAAATAACAAAAAAACATAATCTGAACATCTGAACAATGAACATGATACTGATTACCGATTCCCGCTCAATCAAACATTTGTATTCATGAATATTTCATGTTTGATTTGGTCTGGGTGTTTCTATGTATAATATGTATGTATTTACAAAAAAAAGTACATATGTATTTATAACAGCTGTCTAGTACCCATAGTACAAGCTCTGCTTAGTTTGGGACTAGATGGCGTTGTGTGAATGTAGTAAAATATATTATTTACAAGATGGAGACGACAGAATTTAAATGAAATTGAAAGACATCAGTAATATTCAAATTATAGCAGTGCTGGACTAGCAAAAAATATTAACTTATTTAAGTTTTGGTCTCGTAACGAAACGGCTTAAAACGGCTTTTATTAATAATTACATATGTGTACAAATTTCTGTCTAGTTATGAGAACGAATTTTCTGGTAGGTCATAATAAGACAGTATTTTTGCATAGTTCTACTATTTTCTTCTGCTGTAAATACTTTCTGTTTTAAGGAACTACGTCCACTTTATCTAAATCTATAACTGTACCTATTTACGTATATTGAGGCCGAATTGACAAAGCTACCTTCTACCCGTGAGACTTTAAACGAATACAAAAAAATATACAATTACTATTACACATTCCTAATCATACACATTCTAATGTTTCACTGATTTATATAATCTTATTTACATGCATAATAACCAAACGCTAACTCAACAAGCGCTCCTCACATCATCAGCCTTTAATAGTCCACTGCTGGACATAGGCCTCTCCTTAGAAAGGAGGTTTTGGCCTACTACACCACGCTGGCCAGACAGCGCTCCTCAACAGATAGTAAAAATCAGATAACTTCAGATGTAGTAACTAACTACATTTCTTAATTTGTTATCATAATTCCGGTGACGTAATTTTTCTTAGAAATCGTATTATGACGAGACTTAACATTTACTCAATTTAATGTTCATAATCTGGGACCTACATATTGGGGATTACAGAAATAAATTTTGCAAACCTTGATGTCATCATACAAATTCTTGAATACATAATCATTGTTCTGTTTTTTTTTCACTATTCTGTTTTTGTTTTTGCTGTTACGCGGCAATTTGTTGTCCATCATTGTAATTTTAGATTATAAAGATTTTAAGAAAAACCTGAGATTTTAAATCCATCGGTCTTCGTATTTTTTACTTTTAAGTAAGTATATTGACCATAAAGCAAATATTTCTCCTGGCGGTATTCAGCAATGGACTCCTCGTATATAAGCTAATTCTATTCCAGCAAAATCTGCTACAATTAAGAAATAAAAAAAATATAAACGAACTACTCACATCTTTTCTGTCCTCGCAACAGGCACATTACTCAGAGCTATCATATTCTTCGGTCTTACTACGCTCAGCTCGAAGGGTGTCTTGTACCCAGGTTCGTCGAAACATGGGAACATACGACGTGCGTTGTTCGGGCGAAGTTGGGTCGCCGCTACAGTCCTAGAAAATTATGACCAGTCAATAAAACGGATACGTACCACACCACATCAACCTTTAATAGTCCACTGCTGGATATAGGCCTCTCCTTAGAAAGGAAATTTTTACATATTATACGCTGGCCAGACGGGTTGGTATAGGGTTTGTATCAAGTTTTCCTTCTCTTTGCAGTACTGTTGTCCTACAGAGTTTGCTCCCTTAGTGGAATGAATTGGGTGGTGACCCTTCGTATTCTTAATCAGTCACCACACGGACATGGGTACGTATATTGCTACTTAATATTGCAATGCTTTTCATCTTGAGTTTCCAATGGACTGAATTTGCTCATCTAGCACTTGGTACATTATAACTCAGATGAATTTAAATTTGGTAATTGTATATTCCTTCTAGTTTTTATAAATTTAAACTGTAACTTTTAGTTGTTTTACTTCTACTTAATTTTTGTTTAAAATACTTTTACAAACCTCTCTATTTCTTGATCAGTCATATAAGTAGTTTTAAAGAAAGCCTCAGTTGATCCAGTTTCCATGTTCCCCTTAAAACTGAACTTCAGAACTCCTGTTGAACCTTTTGGAACAGTTTTTTTAAGGGACAATGTTATGATAGGCTTTTTAGGATCCATGGTTGATGTATCAATTGTGATTTCTTGTAATTCTTTACTGAAAAATTAACCAGGCAGATTATATAACTATTATATCACTGATTTAAAGAAAACTTGTAAAAACCCATTTATCCTAGATTTACAAGAAACATACTGTAATATTAGAAGGCTGATATCATTTTTATGTGTTTTTTTTATCTAGTTTTGGTTCAGATAGCCCTGTGTAAGATGTCTGTATTTGTAGCTATAACTGCTGGCTATAACATTATGCAGAGAATTCTACACAAATATTAAGGCGTTTAGCCTACTACATAAGAGGACTGCAAAAGATACTTTCATTGGACATACATTTGTCAAAATAGACTTCAACCCGTAAACAAACGAACACAATTATTTAAAGTCGAGGAAAATAAACCAATACTAAATCAAAAATTCCTTGCAGTTACTTAGTCGCCATCCCCAAAAGATAGTTTTATAATGCTGTAAAGCCGTATTTTTCAATGATCTTTAAATTATAAATATACTCACCGGTCAGGGAATTGAGCTTTTACTTCAGACTCCAAGATCTCAATTTCATGAGCACAGTGTACGTTAAGTTCATTGCTATCTTTTAGCCAAGTGATGTTGATAGCTACATGTCCTTTGAAGAGTGCGTCTTCGAGATAAGGTTCCAGGTCCAGACGGTAAAAAGTGGGCTCCACGACTTTATCAAGGCGCGTTTCCATAGCAAGACCATGCGCATTGTTTAAGTCTATGCTTCTAGCTCTTATTATGTGGATGGGAGCCTGCTGTAGAATAATCTTATTTGTACTTTCAATCATAATTAGTACTCATATTTGGACTCTTAACTACATAAATGAGACAAATTTTAGATTGAAAAAATAGTACATTATCCATTTTGAACTAAAACTTTAGATTTCTTTTCACATTGTGTACCTTATTAACTTACATAATAGGTTCCTGTAACACATGCTGTATATAATGGATATATGACTCTTTTTTTATGGGGAAGGTTACTATTTTTTTTTGTTTGGTCCTATTCAAATTTGAAGGAAAAAGTAACTAGTAAATAAACTAATAATAGTAAATTTAACTATCTATGTTAACATAAACAACGGAACATGAAATCGAACGTCGGAAAGGAAAATTAACATGTTTTATTATCATAGGTCGTCTTCGTCTTTCCAGGATAGGAGTTTACGGGGAGCGGCGTCGATCCAGGGCGGGCTGAAATAACATGGTCGGGTCCTCCGTTGTGTGGTTTTTAGTGGAAACACCACATACTCCTGGCTCCTACATCCCCAAGGAACCGGAGATCCGTAGGAATTTTCAACCCCGTCAACAAAAACAAAAGGTCGTCTTCGTCTTTCTCTCTTAAAAAGAATAAATTTTCTCCCTCCCAAAACTCAGCTCCCATTAGTCCTTTCTCGATAAAAGGGATATCCAACACTAAAAGATTTTTTCATATCGAAACGGCGGTTTTTGAGATTACCCCGAAAGTACAAACTTTACCACTTTTTATATTAATATAGATCGATAAAGTTATTGAAATTTGACAATCTAATAGAAATGTAGATTACATAGCAAGTAATGAAAATCTTTTTTTTAACTTAACTAAAACCTGAAGTTTCATAGAGTAAACATAATTTATGGTTATTGGCTGAAACAGAAGACCTATCTAACTTGGCGGTATAAAACTGAATTAGCAAGTAAGGATATATATTTCCTTAGATAATAACAGTTAGTGTACCGATGTGATGACTGCAATTTTCATATGACGCCGTTAGCCATGTAATTTGAAATCACCGAACCGTGTCACCAGATAATCCCACGACAGAAATGTGTCACTGACAAAGTATCCTCAAGCTGAAATAATCGCTAAGAGATAGTAATAGTTAAAAATTCTTCGGTGAACACTTTATGAACAGCCCTTATTAGTCCACTTCTGGACATAGGCATCTCCTTTGTAAGGGGGAAAACTCACGACTAAAAAAAAAATCGATTTGATAATATTAATTAAAAAAGTTAATAAGCACCTTTTTCGTACACATATTTTAATCATACACATACAATAGGCTTTAATGGTAAACGTTGGGAAGCAAAAGGTTCTAAGATGTTCTAATATAAAACCGTCTATTGTGTCCGATTTCAAGAGACATGGTAAATAGGTACAAGGAGGATATTCGTTTTCCTCCGTCAGGTCATCCGATGATAAGTGGTTACAACCGTCACCGTACATGCGTTAGCGTCTTTTGAGCTCCGGTAACCTCACTCCTTCGGTGAAAAGTAACAAAAGAACTGTTTAAGAAGATCTGCTGGTTTTCTGTGAGGTTACGGCATCTTTCGGTCGAGCCGGCAAGCATAGCTCTCCTGCTACCCGTAGATTCTTCTTTGAGGGCCACACAGGGGCTAATTTTGAGCCCGATCATTTTAAATTATACATAGTATGGAAAAACTAAAATTTAATATTTTAGTATGGATAACCTAGTTGTGAAGCCCAACGTAAGCGTATGGGCAACAAATATTCTGAGGAATCTGATAATGCCAACAGATTTGTCTCGTAGTCAGCGAAATTAAAAGAAAAAAAATTAACATTAGAAATTGCAGAAAAAAATAGTTTTAGGAATCCAAATTGCATAATTACATTTATTCGTAGATTTATATTAATATTTTAAAGAAAAATATTAATTTCATACTCAGACAGCTTGCGACACCTGTATGGATAAAATTAACCGCCAAATGCAATCTTCTAGAACCTTGTTGAAATATACCTCAGCCTATGCTTGTCCACTGCTGGACATAGGCCTCTCCCAATGATTTCCAGCGGGGACGGTTGATTGCGGCCTGCATCCAACGGTTTCCGGCAACCTTTACCAGGTCGTCCGCCCATCGGGTAAGCGGTCGTCCCACACTGGATGTACCCGATGGACGGACGGTTGAAATAACATCAGCAATTTCTGGCCCAACACCATAAAAAGTCCTAAGATACAATCCGTTTCTAGATTCTATAAATGATGACGTCACAAACCGTATAAAAAAGACTAACTACAATCCTAATTGTTTATAAATACACAAGAGTTTATGACTAGTTCGCGGTGATTATAACAGGCACCTTGTTTATTCACAAAATTTGCTGATAGCACTAACATTGCTAATCACACCATAATTAATGATCGGCCAATATTTGTTCCGAGGCTGACCGATGCCGATGACGTGATCGCTTTAGTTTTTGAATGCACGTCTTAGAAAAGATCGTTCTTGTTGGTTTTAAGATTTTGTCTAAATGACGTATTAACTATGGGATTGAATGTACTCGTATGTGCAGCAAAGAAAACCTAAACTAAAAACCTAACTATTTAAACCTTCTTTCTAAGGAGAGGCCTATGTCCAGCAGTGGACTATTAAAGGCTGTTGATGTGTGTGATGTATGTGCAGCGATGGTAATTTTTCTGTTTTAACTTTTTACTGATATATATACTGATATATATTTCCACTATTACTATCTTGAGTATAACAATCAGTACTACAAAAAACACATCAGTAACAAAAATTAATTTTTTTTTTTTACGAGAGTGCCATTTGAAACTTTTTGATTTGAAATTGCGCGTTGTAAATTAACCGTCTAGTTATTTCATTGTTTTTTTTTTTTTTTTCCTATAAAAAGACAACTCCCGCATTAGGAATAAATCCTGTGTCGCGGGGGACTTTACAAACATACATGAAACGGACCCAAAGAACACCCAGACTCAGAACAACAATTTGTGGATCACACAAAGTGTCGTACCATGTGGGGTTTGAACCCACAACACTCGGCGTAGTAGGAAGCGGCGTGGCGACCGCTTAAACCACTACGCCATCCGTGCAGTGATCACTATATTACTCAAAATAAAATTACGATACCTGCTGTACACATAAAGTGGTAATATTTTTTTAATTCTCGGTTATCTCATAGTGCAAGGTATCATTGAATAGGTACCGCCAACCTATTTATTTGTGATCACTATATATTATTACTTATGTCGTCAACCTCCCCTGATAGTCCATACCTGATAATCTAAGATATAACAAAAAAAAACAAAAGCAGAATAGCAAAAGTATCGAATTTAAATACAAGAAATTGACGTAAATCTACAACTGATAGAAACATTAATCTTGTTTGGAAGGATTCAAAAATTGTCCAAGTACACTATCGTCTTAAAAAATATAAAGTCCAGCTGCGACAATGACAGTCCGAACAAAATTACAAGCAGGAAGTGATTATTAACACGTTACATACCTTATCCGGCGGCATAGAGTTTGCCATTCGGAGGCTCAAGGAAACTATGAGGAGGAAACGGCCGAACATTGTGTGGCCTTTGATCAATTTTTGGACCTAAAAATAAAAAAGTCTGTTATTTATTGCACAAAAAATTTAAAAGTTTAAAAATCTATAAAGAACTGTTTCATTCTGTAGTAAATATGTATTTAGTATGTACTTCTAATTAGTTTTTTCAAATGTGTCTTTTTACACTACAGAGACAACGAGAAAGTGAGCAAAATAAGATGATGGATCATGCAAGGGGTTACCATAGCAGGAACTCGAGAGAAATTTAGCAGGATATTAGACTGGCCTGTTGGTCCAGTATTTAGTGATCCAGACTACTGAGTCAGAGAATGTGGAAACGATTCCCTTCCAAGACAAATAATTGTGTACTCTGTATCTGTGTGTAATTTATAGATAACTAGCTGACCCGGCAAACGTTGTATTGCAAAACAAAAAAAAATTAGGGATGGGTCACCCTTACCATTTAGGGGTATGAAAAATAGATGTTCGCCGATTCTCAGACCTACCCGATGTGCACACAAAATTGCATGAGAATCGGTCAGGCCGTTTCGGAGGAGTACGGGAACGAACATTGTGACACGAGAATTTTATATATAAGATTTGGATGTATTTCGAGAGATGTAAGTACGTTTATCTTATTTATATATAATTTGCCTAGATTTTGTATCAGTATTATTAAAGTGATTGGTGATTTGCAAACTAAAATGATTTATTTCGTCTCTTCAAAAATTGCGGTAATAGTCCCTCCATTTTATTTAATCCTTTTGATTTATGTGCGTCCCCCTTAGTGCGTGATTTAACGTTTATTGAAAAGGAATAGAAATCCTATAAAGCTTATATATTATAAAGGTTAGAGAAAGATTCTTTGAACTCCAGTCGACCAATTTAGGTAATACTCCATAAAAAAAAGAATGTAAATAATATCATAGTACTTTTAGCTGTTTTTGGTCATGCCGGAGTTTCAGACTTGAGAGTCATCATCATCATCAACAGCCTTTAATAGTCCACTGCTGGACATAAGCCTCTCCTTAGAAAGGAGGTTTTGGCTTGAGAGCGGCAATGCACAATTTAGTACCGATGTTGCGAGACATTACAAGCTTAGATGAACCGTACATAGTAAGTAAACAAACCTTTATTGTCTTAAACATTCTAACTCAAACTCAAACTTTCTTTATTTCATAAAATTTTCAAAATTGCTTGAAATCGTCTTTTATGTAGACTCTAAAGTCATAGATCAACACACACACAAAAGCAACAATCTCTGTTTTGTCAAATAGTAAGCAAATAAATTTAACAAAAATCAAACCCAAACAAAATCTATGATATGCCTGTGCAGATCTACAACCGCCCGTTTCCAAGGGCTTAATGAGAAGAAAGGGCAAACAAACTCATGGCCACTCTTTTACAATTCACAGATAGATTTACACGGTTATACACATATCCAACATGAGATAATCTACATCTAGACGCAAACCCGTCAAGGGTACCTTCCCAATCCCATGCTAATAAAAACTGTGTTACAGTTAGGTTAAGGATAATCCCATACAGCTCAGTTGCAGCAATAGCCATTGATGCCCATTTGGAGTGGATTTTGATTTGCTGTGTCCTCAAACGTGTACGACTAGACAATAAAAACATAATAAAGAATAAAAATAAGGAAACCAGCATTATGAGATGCTCTTACATCGTACGGTGCATGTTTGACTGTTGTGGTGTAGGAGTATGTGTATCTGATTGTGAAGGTGTGTGCTTGAGTTTATTTATTTATATGTATTAGTGACCTGTATAAGCATATGGACTTAAAAGTATATGGACATGTACATCTTTGAAATAATCTCCGAAATGCGTAGAGCATTCATCATCATCGTTCATCTCAAAAAATATGTTGTCAATTAGTATTTTTGTATTAGCTGACCCCAAAAACCTTCTAGATATTAGTAATTTGTTTAAAACGTAAAGGTACTTAGATCATAAACACGTGATTTTTGTCACAACTAATCATGGACTTACTCAAACGACTACTGTACAGTACAGGTTACTGGTCCACAATAAGATACACCAATTTAAGCGACACACATTACAAAATAAAAACAAAATAATAATCCATTCCAAGTTTGAAAGTAAAGAAAAAGAAATACGTTCTAAAATTAAATCACTTGTCCACCAAAAATTTAAAAAGAAGAATTATATTTACAAAAGAGTTTACTTACCTACGTGTTGGGTACAACCCGAGGTCCAGAATATCACTGGCGGGTACGAACGGTGTCAGGCCCTCTCAATTGCCGCCAGGATATGCCTCATTTGCAATGACGAGCGGCTGTTGTGAACCTCTTAAATCGTTGTATGCTAATATTATTTACGTGTCAGATTGTGACGACAATTCCTTTTCAATGATCCTATAACGCAATGTCTCTTAGTATCAAATAAACGGACAAAGGAATAACTGAATGGTTAATAGTGAGATAACTATTATGTGGCATGCTCACATCTATCTTGATATCACGATAATAAACATCAAACATAATTTCAACTATTTTAACTCCCAATTAAAAAGTTGTGTAAGTTTGAACTATGTGTCTCTGGGTCTGTCATAAAGCCATCGCTTTCCTTTGAATGCCCTCTACTCAGAATTAAAGGAGGAGGGTTAGGTCTTTCTTTTCCGCCTGGAAACCCCCTCGGGCCATCACCCCAACGGAATTTGTAGGCTTCCAGAGGAGTGGTAGGCTTCTGCTAACCTCATTCACTCGGTGAAATGTAACAGAAGACACCGGTTTTGTGTGAGGATGGGGTGTCCCATATGTGCTAAAACATGGCTCTCCCTCGGTTATAATGGTAAAATAATTTTGACTATAATTACAAGACAGTGTTATTAATTATTATTTAGACTGAGTTTCGGGCTTAATAACAGTAACACCATACTTTTTTCTGCATTCCCGACCCCCCTTTCTTAATAAAAAACCAGTCGGGTACGAGTCGAACTCGTTCGCTGAGGGTTCCGTACCTACGTAGATTTTGCGAAAATTTGTAAGTACCAAAATTTATCCTGATTTTCAACTTTTTTTATTTATTGGAATTAGGCCTTTATTTGTGTTGTAAGACGTTTCTTTTTGCCAAATTGCGTGATTTTAGGGCAACGGGAACTACTATTAAAGGCAAGATCTTAGAGCACAAGTAAATAGTAAATTCTGAAAATTAAAAAAAGTTGAAAATTAAGGTAAATTTTGGTACTTACAAGTTTTTGCGAAAATCGAAATTTGCCCATATCTTTATATCGTGTTGACTCAAGAGCTTGATTTTTATACACCTAATAGGAACTATAGACCTCAGTATCTGGTATAACTTTCAACTAGCTAGGTCTACCCGTTCCTGAGCAAATCGGTGGTGACACACGGACAGACAGACGGACAAAAAAGTGATTTTATAAGGGTTCCTTTTTTACCTTTTGAGGTACGGAACCCTGAAAATAGTTTTAACATTATATTTTAAACATCGAATGAAATTAAGTTTTTTGTTTTTTTTGCTGTTCGTAATTCAAATTTTAAAATTATCACTGCTACAGAAGTGCTGTCATAGAACAATAGATTTATTTATGAACGCGGTGTCACGAACCGACGACCTTGCCGCATCGTCAACTACACCTTGAGAAATTGCTCAAGGCTAAGTCTCACTAGGCTAATAATCTGTAGCAGTATTTAAGACAATGGTACCTACTAAAGAAGGCTAAATTTTCATTTAGAAAAGCTAATGCATAATTTTCAAGTCCTTCAGAAAACGATACAGTACTAAATAGGTTTTATTTTGTATCGTTTTTATTAGTCGTAAGAGCCGACTAAGGAACCAAACTATGCAGGATAACAGCACTTCAAATAGAAGGAAAACTTAACACAAACCCTATACCAACCCATCTGGCCAGTGTGGTATAGTAGACCAAAACCTCCTTTCTAAAGAGAGGCCTATCTCCAGCAGTGGACTATGAAAGGCTGTTGATGATGATGAATGCATAATTTGCAAGTTCTTCAGGAACTGATACAGTACTAAATAGATTTTTACTGTGTATCGTTATATGAGTTTATCACTATCTCTTTCTAGCATAATTCGAAATTCGAATCGACCGAATTGATACGACGGCCTTACAGAAAATCGCTGTTAAGCATTTCGATGCTTTTCACCGAGTGAGTGAGGTTATCAGATGCTAAAAGTGGCCTCCCCTTGTCACTTAGTCACTTACCATCAGGAGACTCGTGTGCTGATAAATTCTAGAACTATTAAATGACATAATGATGATAAATTCTTATTCTACGTAGGTTACATAAGTTTTGAGATGTTCTAAATTTGAAAATATGACGCATATGTGTCAATGTCAATGTTAATTTGAAAATCGAACACAAAAGGCCAAAAAAAAAAGCTAAAAAGTTACACGTATTATACTGTCATCATTTCCCAGATGCTTTGAAGCTTTATTGTGAAAATTTACGTGCTATGATATATTACGACTTTAAATGTTGTTTACCTGAAGGTTTAAGCTTAGTACATGTAAAATCAGCTTTCGGTGTGTCTGCTCCTTCTCGGGCAACCATTTTTAGACAGTTTATCGAATTAAAAGGGGAAAACTAGCCTTGAAGATGACGACAGAAGACGGACGCCCGCCAATAACAGTCACTGCTGAAAACGTGTAGACTTCTAAAATGTTTGTGCTAGATAACCCAGGAATTACATGCCATATTACATGAACAATGAATTAGAAAGGTTTGTTGTCGTTGGATACTTCGTTTGCCCTCCAAAACGGCAAAAGAAGCCCGTGTGGAATAGTGATGCCATAAGATACCGTGTTTCTGAAATCATTACTGACGACTAACATGGATATATCAATATGATCCGGAAAGCAAGAAGCGTTCCTCATTACGGGTGTTTCCAGATGGCTAGTTGTCAACAAAATTGCAAAGACCGCGGAACATTGGCAAAAAGAA